CCTTGAATCAGACATCACATTCCACATAGGGAAGCAAGAAGCTGAGCTTGCTTTGAGAGTCAATAGTGCGGCTTTCCATGGGGATCTCTTCCAGCTGAAGGGTTTCATTCGAGCTGGAGCTGATCCCAACAGAACTGATTATGATGGCAGATCACCGTTGGTACTGAAATCTGTTAACGCTTTGGCTTTTTTGGGTTTTGCATACAGCTTTGAACTTTTCTTTTATGATTACCGTGATGACACTTATTTGCTTCTTTGGGAAACAGCATCTTGCAGCATCGAGGGGTTATGAAGACATGGCTAGCTTCCTCATAGGGAAGGGAGTTGATGTCGACATAAAAGGTAACTTGATGTGACTAACATTGATTATGCTCTCAGTTCCAGACCCAATCGAATCGAACCTGGACTCTCGGTGGGACTGGGTTTGATGATATTTGTGATAAAATTTGGTTTCGGTATTCTAAAAACAAAGAATCAAACGGATCAAATGGAAATCAAACTGAATTAATGTGCTCTTTATGGTATTGCTCTCATCTTCTCCATTTCTTTATCAGTCCCTATGATTTTGGACCAGACTAAACCACCCCCTGATCATGGTTCCTTGTGGTCCAGTCATTCCAAAGTGAAACCGAAATTGGTAAAGGATTCAACCGAAAATGAAGGATATATGTTGAGCAAAATAGGGAAAGAGTGCACATTTGATTCCATTTGGTCCATTATAGTTTCTTTAATTTCTTAGGGATCTAATGAAATTGGGGGAAAGTTTCATACATTTGAATCAAGATCAAGTCGAATTAATTTTGACGTGTGCTAATCTGATTCATTAATCAATTAGGCCTGTTTCGATCAAGCCACAGTAACTGACTTGTGGATTCTATTTGATTCATGTATAGATTAGGCCTGGTTCAATCAAGCCACGGTGACTGACTTGTTGATTATGTTTGGTTTCCTGGATACATGTAAACAGATAAATTCGGGAACACGCCATTGATGGAAGCTATCAAAAGCGGGCATGATCGAGTTGCATCATTACTTGTCGAGAAAGGCGCCTCTCTGAACATAGACGATGCAGGTAGCTTCCTGTGCACGTCAGTTGTGAGAGGAGACTCTGATTTCCTCAAGAGGATTTTGGCCTTCGGGGTTGATCCCAACTCAAAGGACTACGACCACCGAACTCCACTTCATGTAGCTGCATCCGAGGGACTCTACTTGATGGCCAAACTGCTGGTAGAAGCTGGAGCCAGTGTTTTCACAAAGGACAGGTAGCACTAATCATCTAATGCTTATTATGCTATAAAGCAATGAAAATGTTGATGGCTTACGGCTTGCCTCTTTGCAGGTGGGGAAACACGCCATTGGATGAAGGCCGCAAGTGTGGGAATAAGAATTTGATCAAGCTTTTGGACGGTGCTAAGACTGCACAGATGGAAGAAATGGCTGATAGCTCTCTGGGAACCAGAGGTAAGATTCCATTGACAAATAAGAACACGGAGTTGTTCCATGGAGCTACATGCGTGTTAGTATTCCTCGTAATGAATAGTTATCGCAGTAACTTGTGGGTTGTACTAATCAGCTTTACGGATAAGATATCGTTTGTGGATAATAACTTGAATCGAATTATTTGTTGTCGAGTGGAAGTGACGAGGTCTTGCCTGCTTGTCGGTGGACTAGCTAACACACATTGGATTAGAGTTGGGTCGTCTAGACAAGTACTATATGATATATATACTTCTCAATCTCCGTGTAATATGTATTTCATCAAGTATAATGAAACTGACTCTCTTCTGCCAGTAGACTAGCTAACACACATTGTGTTAGTGAAACACATAAATCTATGTGTTCTTTTTTTCTTCTTCTTGTATATATTGCCGATTTCCCGACTCATTCTAACGCATATAAATTATCTTCGTGTCATGCAACTTGAGCTATAGCTTCTAACTATTTGTGTATCCCTCCATTTCCCCCCAATTTGTGACAGAAACACATCACTCAAGAAAATGCACGGTGTTCCCATTCCATCCATGGTGTCCAAAGGAGGAGAGGAAGAGAGTTGGTATACTATTATGGGTGCCAAACTCCATTGAAGAGCTCATAAAAGCTGCAGCCGAGCAGCTGGAGTTTCAGAGCGAGGAAGATTCCACTTCTTCTACCTGTGTTGTGACGGAAGATGGAGGCAGGATCTTGGATGCGAATATGATTGACGATGGCCAGAAATTGTATTTAATCAATCAAACACGTTGAAGGACTCTGAGAATGAGACGAGAAATTTTGGGTTCGAGTAGAAATGTATACTATACTATGCCACTTCCACTACACTATGTATGGTAAAAATCCATTCTTAAGTCTACGTTAGAGGGTTAATTAGGTGTGTGATTTAGCTTAGATTTTTGTACATATGTTGTTGTAAATAGCTCTCGAAAGGAATAAAAGAGTGGCAGGTGTGTGTTTGTCGCTTGCAATGTTTTGTGTGTAGTATAAGAGGCGAGAGGGAGAGTGTAATAGGGTCCATGAAGTCATTGGAATTGAATAGAAAATGGGTAAATTAGGTATTATAGTTAATTGATAGTTAAGATTAAGACGTGCTTAATTGAGGATGATTAATCTTACAAATTTTTTTACGTATGATTTACAAATTGTTAATTGATGTATTCAAAAAATTTGTAACGAGCTGTGTATAAATGGCAATGATGTATATGATCTGCTCAAAATTAACGCTTTACTTATTCAATATCAATAACAAAATTTTCATAAAATCATAACTAATTTTATATAAAAAAAATATTTCAACCAAGGACGGAAAGGAGTGTAATAAGGTCATTCTCGGGAGGAAAATGGGAAAATCAGGTAATTAGTTGAGAATGATAATTAATGTGCCTCTAATTGAGAATGGTTGGCTGAGAGGTAGTATACTCGGTTTTCGACGATCCTATTTGTTAGTATTTGGATATGTGAAAATTTCAAATCCATGTAAGTTAGCTTTCGTTTGATGGGGCTTGAAGTAAATCGTGTAGTGTTCATTATTGAACGTCTCCCAATAACTCGAATTGTTGACACTAAATGGTTCTTGACAAAAGAAACAATTCGAAAGCGAACGACTAACTAAATCATGAATAATTGTTTGGTACAAGAGAGTGATAATCTTGATAGTTTCGACCAATAGCGTATTTAAACTTACCAACCTTTTCCAAATATAAGACTATACTAACCTGTAAAAAAAAAAGATTGTACTATGGATGCTTGAAAGAGTTAGCAAAAACTATTTTATCATAAGTATTTTTTTAAACCCATCTTAGACAAAATTCTAACTCCACCCTTGATTGCAGTGAATTCGTTTAGGGTTTTGTCGTAGTGATTAATCTCCCACAGCCACAATGGTAAAGAGTTGGCCTAATGATAAAGTGAGAATGATAGTCTCCTCCAGACGTTTTGATTATTGAGCGAATCTTTGGCATATAGTTTGGAAACATTGGTGCAGGTAACATCTGGAGGGGTTGGGGAGAGTGGGATGGGATCATACCATGGCAAATTCTCATTTGATGCATTCAGCCACAAGAAGTCAGTGCTCAACAGAAGCTTCAATGGGGATGCATCTCCAAGGTTAGCTACCCACCTTACACTCCAAAGGAGCAAATGGTAATGAAGATTTAAAAAAAAAAAGGGCTGCCTGGAATGCTGTTTGTTTTGCTAATTTGCTTGGATGGTCCTCTGACAATAGTAATGATTAAGTCTTGGAGTTAGAGAAGAGAAAAAGTTATTACAAAAAATAAAGAGGAGAAAAAGAGGAATTGGATAGGATTGCTTAAGATGGAAAGAATGGGAGGGAAAAAGGAGAATGCAATTTTTCAGCCAAAGTAGTGACGGTGATGGGCGGGGCGGGTACCTCAATTTCCATGTCCCGCTCCACGCTACTACGGGTCGGGGTGGGTAAAACCCGTGCGGGTATGTGGCGGGGCAGGTCGATCCACTCTTAAATGTTGTTCAAAAAAATACAAGTAAATTTTACTTTTTACAATAAAACGTAGGGGAAACACTTTAAAAATGAAAAATATTGATAATAGAATGGATAATTGAGTCTAACAAGTTGAAAGATCTACTCTAACTGGTTGAAGAAAAGTCAAAATAGGAGAAATATGTATAGATATTGTAAGAAATTGAGATAAAATGAGTCTAGAACGGGGCGGGGCGGGACAGGGCGGGTCGGAAGTAAATACTCATGCCTCGCCCCACGCTACTGCAGGTCGGGTAATACCCGCTCCATCACGGATCAGGTCGGGTAATACCCGCGGGGCGGGTTGAAATTGCTATCACTAAGCCAAAGTAGTTGTTAGTTGAACTGCAAATCTTAACTGGCAATATGCAATTGGAAAGGGGATTACATCAAGTGAATTACAAAAATGCAAGCTATGAAATTCAAAATGTAAATCACATAGATAAAAATGATTTATTCATTTATTTATCAATTATCACTTCATTCATTTATTTTTATTAGAAAATCACTTGATGATATGCAATTGCAAGCGAATTGTATCTATATGCATTTCACATATTAATAACTACCAATTGCATAATATATCAGGTACAATATAGACAATGTATGCAATTGGTTTTGCAATTGCATTGTTGTGGATGCTCTTAGTAGTTATTAGTTATTACTTTAGTATGGTATGTGTGTAGATACATTGCCTAATCCTTTGTTTGTTTTGGTTATTGGGACGACTTTATAATCGAGTTTTCAATCACCTGTGACGATAACTGAACTGGCAATAATAATAATCGACTTTTCTTTTGACAAATTGGTCCATAATAAGTAAATGACAGCTAAAAACAAAAATTTCATAATTTTTACATGAATCACATACTCAAAATAATAATTATGAAGCAAAGTGAGTACACCAAAGACAAAATTTAGCATATATTACTTTTTGAGTAACATATCATTTTTATTATTTGATTCTAATACAAAAACAACACTTATAAAAATAATTTTTATCATTTTATTCATTAAAAACACTTATAAAAAATTAGAAGTATAGTTTGAACAAAAAATAACTCAATAGCCACCCTCAAACTATATCAACTATCTCACCAAAAAATTTATATTTAAGATCTTTCGTTTTGAGTGGTAATTTCTGTCACATAACACAATAAGATTTGTATAAAAAATAAATAAAAACATCAAATTCAAACAAAAATGTCAACCAAACTACCACTAAAACCAAACTATTCTTCAATATTTTGGTCGTCATTCTTGTTCGTATAACAAAAAGTAAGACTCACTTTAATTTCTCCTTCTCTATCCACCTCCCGCTTAACTCCCTTCAAATTCTTCCCATCTCTCCCCTATGTTCATCCATTTGAAACCTAATTAATAACCAAATGTTTACCGAAATAGATTTTGATACATCTAACTCTTCCCGAACATCGAATTATGAACAACAATGTCAACCAAACTATCCTTAAATATTTTGGTCGTCATTCTTGTTCGTATAACAAAAAGCAAGACCCGCTTTAATCTCTCCTTCTCTTCCTACCTCCCGCTTAACTCCCTTCAAATTCATCTCATCTCTCCCTATGTTCATCCATTTGAAACCTAATTAATAACCAAAATTTTACCGAAATAGATTTTGATACATCTAACTCGTCCCGAATATCCCTCCATGTTCATCCCATCTTAGACCTTTGATCCCCCGCAGGAACAACATTCAATGCTCTGTTTTCTTCCGCTTGAAGGAAAAACACAAAGAAACTCTTGAATAGCATATTCTTCTTACTTTTTTTTTACTCATCCCCTTCAACAATCCTAAAAACTTTACATATTTTTGTTCACGATTGTTTGATCATCAAACAATCTACTCGAAAAAATCAGTATATCCATGAAAGAAAATATGGAAGATGACCAAAATCAAGAAATTATTGCTTCTTGTACCTGATCATCGTTATCATCATCATCATCACGAGTATACACATTCTTTCATTATCTCTTTTTACTCTCGTGAAATACCTTTGTTCATCAAATTGATTCATTCGAATTCAAATTTAGTCCTCCTCCCTTGCTTTTCCTTCTTACCATTTTTCTTTTGGTATATGTACTTGTACCAATGCCTGTGGGCGACCCAAGTTCAGGCCAATTCTACATATGGATCATATCAATCGTCTTGTTCATGGCCGTGACTCTCGGCGGGAGCTTCCTCATAATGTATCTGATCCTTCCGCCCACCCCTTCAACGGAATGGCTTCCCGTCGCCGGGGTCTCCCTCGTTTGCCTGCCATGGGGATTTTGGTTCGTCACTTGCGTCTATCGTGTCCTATCTCGTACCTTTGGGTTTAGGGTAGTCATTGGTGGTGGCGGAGGAGGAGGGGGAGGCAGCGAAAATAATACCGACAATATCGGCATTAGCGGTAGTGGGTCGGAATCGTCTAAAGATCTTATGGGAGATTCGAAAGAGGAGGCAAACGACCCAAACAAAGATCATCATCAGTTTGTCGGAAACGTGGGAGAAAATGGCGAAAATGATAAGGAAGGTGGTCACGGAATCAAGCGAACTTCGAGTTCTGCCAATGGTGTTGTTGTTGGTTCCAACGAAAGTGAAATGCCATTGACATCTGGTGTTAAATCTTGATGTTACATAATATAGGTTCTTTAAAATCCTTTTGTATGATGTAACGTTGTTTTGTTTCCTTCCACCTTTTGGGTTGTGTCATGTAATTTTATATGCCATGATCTCTTGTTTTTCTATTCATAAAGTTATTGTCTAGTGCTAGTTTAGAGCTTATAGTGTTGACTGTTGAGCACATATAAAAGGACATATTATTTTTTAAGATTAGTAGATATTAATTTACTTTGTATATTGTTTGTTTTAATACTAGTATGATTCTATTTTGCTCACATCCTCAAGTTAGACATTCACAACTTGCTAGCGTACTTATTCTTATTGAACCTAGGCTAACTAAAATGTAAATTAGGCGTTTCGGGGTTATCTTTCTACCAAAAGAAGGCGAAATGTCAAAATATTGGACTTAAATAGTAGTAAAAATTAATTTAGAGGACTAATGTGTAACTGCACATCCTCTCTCCGTCCAATATATATTCTTGAATGCCTGGCAAGTGGCAACGTGCAACCAAGTCATACCGGCTCCCGATGTTTCCCAAAATTTTCGAATTGAATTTCAAATAGACGCTGCCCAAGCGGGAACAGAGAAACCATTCCCCTCCTCTCTCCTCCGCCAAAAATTGTTCACAGCAGCCCTTCAATCGGCGGGAGGTAGCTCATCGGAGCAGAAATGGCGGATGGTCTCAAGAAATCTCATCGGAAGCATCCGGTGAGTCTCAACGACAGTCACTACCGTCTCCTCCAAGACCTTTCCGCTCCTCCGAAGCAAATCTCTTCCTCCTCGGCTATACCAGTTCCAGGTATCCGTTCACTCTTAACTTCTTGTTGCAATCACCTGTTCTCGCAATGGTTCTTTCTCATATTGATCGAGTTTTGTCATGTTTCTGTGAAAGTTTATGCAGACGAACTGCAGGCGACGAGGAAAATGGAAGGACGACGTCGTCTCGTCAAACCGCAAACGGAGGATAGCGGTCGTGACGGCGGTCGTATCCCGCTTTTCTCCGGCGTTACCGATTTCGATTCTTCTCCAGTTTCCGGTACTTACTGCTACTCTATTTCTTTTTATATATGGCTGAGTTGTTTCAATCCTCTTTTCCCCCTTTTCTGTCCAGTTTTAGGGCTCCGTTTCTCATTTCTCCGAAAATCGCATCGTTTGGTTAGGTTTCCATGACGCTAACGAGCAGCTGCCGGCGAATAACGATCGCGACGATGATAATATCCCTTCGTTCTCTGGCATTGCTGATTTTGATTCTCCTGCTGTTTCTGGTAAGTAGTATTCATTTGTTTGTAGCTGAGTTAGAGAGTTTTGGCGCTTGTTGTTGTTGTTGTTGTTGTTTGTGTGGTTCCTTTGATTACTGTAGGTGCGCTAGGTTTTCAGAAAATTTCTACGGATCACAGAAGCTTAGTAGCTTTGACTTGTATGCTGATTACCTTGTGTCTTGGACTTTTCTCTCTGTGGAATGTATGGCAGAAAAAGAAAAACAGAACAAGGTTAAGATTGAAGGTCGGAGGAGATTGTGCAAAGTTTCCCAGCAGGAGAAGGAAAATGTTGAAAATGAAGCAGAGGTGGATGATCAACCTTCATTTGCTGGGATTACAGATTTTGATTCACCGCTACCGTCTCGAAGTAAGGATGAAAATGGTGGTGATCTCGATGGTGGCAGTGATATCAGGGATATTCTGAACAACTTGAGCTCAAGGCTTGATCTACTGTCAATCGAAAAACCAAAGGAACCAGGAAGTTTTGGCAGCTTGGCCCATGTGAGACCTGAGTCATCTCATTATGGAGCATCTGAAGTATCAAAGGTTACTTTGGATGAAGGTAAGGAGGAAAGTGGTTTGTTCAACTGGCGTGGAGATGATCATTCTTTTCAAAAGGTAGATGAGACCAAGGAAACTCAAATGATTCAAAAGAAGACTTATGCTGGTAGGACTGAGAAGACTTTCGAGTTTGAAGATGAAGAGGAAAGTGATTGCATGGTTCAGCCTTTTAAGTTTGCAGCTAAGGCTCAGAACAGCAAGAAGAGTAGTCATCCCGTGTCAAAAAATGATACCACAGCTGGGAATGAAAGATTGCGGTACGCAGGACGCTCTTTCATGGGTAAACTTAGGGAAGAAGAAGAGGATGATGAAGATGACTGTGTAGTTCTGAATACTAAAAAGGCGCCCGAAGAATTCAGGAGACATGATAATCGAGTGAAGCCATCCAATTACTCTTTATTGACTGATCTAGTCGACGATAAGTCTGGTGAAAGTGCTCCGGAAGATGAAGGAGCCATTGTTTTGAATGGCCCACGTTCTACATACAGACTATCTGGAAAACTCTCGCGTATGTTATATCCACATCAGCGTGAAGGATTAAGGTGGTTGTGGTCATTGCATTGCCAGGGTAAAGGTGGAATTCTGGGAGATGACATGGGATTAGGAAAAACAATGCAGGTAATGGAGTTTGTTAAAGTGTCATTAAGCTGTTTTGTTTTTTGTGTTGCTGATGAATGCTCCCTTGTGTTTATTTCTTCCTTCAAGATATGTGGCTTTCTTGCTGGACTTTTTCATTCAAGACTGATCAAACGAGCAATGGTAGTTGCTCCTAAGACACTGCTTGATCATTGGATCAAAGAACTGTCTATTGTCGGCCTCTCAAAAGAGACTAGAGAGTGAGATATTGATATCATCACAGATTTAGTTATGTTATTGGGAAGTGATGATTTTTTTGTTTGCTGATCATATTCTTCTAACTTCAATGCAGATACTATGGGACATCTACAAGAGCTCGTGAATATGACTTGCAACATGTGCTTCAGGTTTTATTTTCTCTGCTCAATAGTTGATTCACTAAATCAAAATGGTCAACTAGTCAAAGTACACGATCCTACATTTTAGATCAATCCCTGATTTACAGTAGCCTTAAGCAAACATAAGGCAGTATCATTAACTTTTCTAGACTTTATGGGGGTTGATTGCATAAAAATGTAATAGAGACCATGTGAATGCGGGTTAAGTTTTCGTGTCATTTGCTTCTATAGCAGACTTGGTTTGCATTAGAATTCTGGAAACTGTGCTGTCGATTCTTTCTGTCCTTATCTGGTTTCAGATCCCCAGGAAATGTTGGACTTAGTTTACAGATCAACTAGTGGGTTATTATTGTTATTTTATTGTAGGACAAGGGTATTCTTCTCACAACGTACGATATTGTTCGCAACAACTCGAAGGCATTGCAAGGGAGAGGTTTATTGGTTGATGATGAAAGTGAGGATGGATACTTGTGGGACTATATGATCCTCGACGAGGTAGATTCTGAGTACCTCTTTTAGAACTTGTTTTGTACGTTATTGAGACTTTTTTTTACGCTAATTTCATTATGCATTCTCTGATTTACATATCTGCAGGGTCATTTGATTAAAAATCCTAGTACCCAGAGGGCAAAAAGTTTGCTTGAGATACCGAGTGCTCAACGTATAGTCATTAGTGGCACACCTATTCAAAACAATCTCAAGGTATTGTGTTTAATCTAGACTCATTTACTGTCATTTGAATTAATCTAAAGTATGTGACATTTTTGTTTACTTGTCAAAGGAACTGTGGGCTCTATTCCACTTCTGCTGCCCTGATCTACTTGGCGACAAGAAATGGTACTTGCAACATCACAGTTTTGTTGTTTGTACGATTTTGGCGACGACCTTTGTTTGATATTTGTATGTATTCAGGTTTAAGGAAAAATATGAGGATGCTATACTTCGTGGCAATGACAAGAATGCTTCTGACCGGGAGAAGCATATTGGTTCGAAAGTTGCTAAGGTGAGGAAATGATGTATTTCTAGAACAGGTCATGCATATGTTCTTTCTTAGTATGAAAAATAAATCCCCTATGAGTGCACAAATGATGCTTTTATTAGCTTTTGTATTCAATGCATATGACGTTCTGAAACTCGGTTCTGTATCTACTTATTACTTTAAAGCTGAGTAGTGCCACAGTTAGATGTGTTGCAAGTATCTTGCAGTTCAGCTGATAACTATGTATTTGACCAAACAGGAACTTAGGGAACGGATTCAACCTTATTTCTTGCGCCGCTTAAAGAGCGAAGTCTTCAAGGGAGACGACAATGAAACTGCTAAACTCTCCAAGAAAAATGAGATCATTGTGTGGCTAAAGTTGACTAATTGTCAGGTTGGTACAGTTTCGAAATGCTGTAGTCCATGTACATTGTTACTATTAGGAAATTGTTTCTAACATGTAGTATTACTTGTATGGTGCAGCGACAACTTTATGAAGCATTTTTGAAGAGTGAAATTGTCCTTTCAGCTTTTGATGGGTCTCCATTAGCTGCTTTGACGGTGCTTATTATTCTGACTCTATCTTCTCTTGGTTTATTTATGTAAAATATAGTAATGTATTCTTTGTGAAATAACTTAAATCCCTTGTGTGCAAAATAATTCCAATGCCTTGTGTTTGAAATAATTTCAATACCTTAGCATCCCACAAGTAATATCTCAAGTCTTATTCACTTGTTGATTCTGGGACTTCTTGTCAGTTATATCCATGGATATATCTCTACATTTTGTAGCTTAATTTTTAACTTTCAGAACTCGGTGTTCTTGACATCTACAGTCTGCATTTTCTAATAATGATAATCTGCTTGGAGCAGATTCTGAAGAAAATATGTGATCATCCCCTTCTCTTGACAAAGCGTGCCGCTGAGGATGTGTTGGAAGGAATGGAGGGGGTGCTAAACCCGGAGGATGCTGGCTTAGCTGAAAGATTGGCAATGCATGTGGCGGATATTGCAGAGAGGAATGAGTTTCAAGAGGAACATGACAATATTTCGTGCAAGATATCTTTCATCATGTCATTATTGGTTAGTTTGTACTTAAACACATTGAATTTCGGAGCATCAAAGTTAGTTGGCTCATGAATATTTTGCTTGTCTGTAGGATGATCTCATTGCTAAGGGTCACCGCGTGCTCATCTTTTCCCAGACACGGAAAATGCTAAATCTTATCCAGGTTTCTCTAAAACTTTCATGCTGCTGATTTTTGTTTGAGTGCATATTTTTCCAATCTTGGAACTCTGTCTCTCTATTGATGCTGTGTTTTGGAGTCAAAAGTATCCATCTCTTGTTTTGGGTTCCTTATCGGTGCATCAACTAGTTCATTCTATAGGGTGGGCAAGGGAATCAATTTTGATTTATTAATGTTTAATATTGTTCTGTGCACCTCAAGTTTGTCATTTCTTCCTTAAAAACAGTTTATGATAGGTTTTTGTTATCTCAGGATTCCATAGCCTCCGGTGGTTACACCTACTTGAGGATTGATGGCACCACAAAGTCTACTGATAGAGTGAAGATTGTGAATGTA